GAACAAGATCCAATCACCAATTAAATCCTAGCGCCTTTGTAATTTAAGATTTGGTTTTAAATCTTTGATATGTTTCATTCGACAAGAAGGGTAAGGGCAATGTAAGGGACCGATTTTAAGGAGATCATCGGCGCATTTCGAATTTCATTTGCATGCCCTATTGCTCCTCTATCGAATTTCGTGCTCCTGAAAGTATCATTTGTTCCATGAAGAAGCGTGCCGTTTTCCGATTATTACAACTCTATCATAAGAAGGAGGGAAGTCCGGCGATAGCCGGGCGACCCGACTGGTGTGAATTATAAGTCTGTATACCTGGAAGAGAAGTTTTTTTTATGCAAATCTTTAGATACAATCCTGCTACCGATAAGTGGTTGTCTGACGTCGCTCCCTGTCTCACCGGTCGGAACTCACCTGCTGTAGCTGCTCTTGGTCACCATCTTTATGTAGCCGGCGGCGAAACCTCTGGCACAGTTATTGAAAACATTGTTGAGTGGTAGGTACAGGGTTCGTCAACCTCTTTTCACCTAAGACTGCTCAGTATCGCTGTAGCTACGACGTTTGCCGCAATGAATGGACCTCTGTGGCGCCTATGGGTTCAGCTCGAAAATTTCTTTCTCTTTCCGCACTAGAGGGCTGTCTTTACGCCATTGGAGGGCTCAATAGTGTCCCTCTTGATATCGTAGAAAGGTAAGTCATTTTGTATTTGGTTGAGTAGAATCAGCTTGTATAGCTTTGAAATTTACGACCTCCGTTGTCTCAGGTTCGATCCTCGAGTTGGTAGATGGGAGAAAGTCAGTTCTATGACAGTGCCTCGAAAAGGCCATGGATCCGCAGTGCTTCATGATGATTTGTACGTAGTGGGTGGGGACTGTTCCGGGAGAGAGCATGTGAACACTGCTGAGAAATACGATCGCCGCACCAATAGATGGGCTCCAGTAGCCGCCATGAGTAACCGTCGATCAGGAGTAAGTCTATTGTATTGCTTGTACCTCTTCATGTATTCTTGTTTATGTTATCGTATCATTTTCAGATTCAACTGGTCGCAGTCAACGGTAAACTGTATGCGATCGGTCGCTTTTTTGACACATCCGTTGAAGTTTTCGATCCTCAGGTCAATCAATGGGAACACCACAGTAACACAGACCTCACGTTAGTTGGATGCATGACCATCTGCTCATAAATAGAATTTATTTGACTATTTAGATATTTTTAGGAGTCTCTTTTGTGGAGCTGCTGTACTACAGAAACCGTAGAATTCAATAAAATGATTTCGAACATCACAATATCTCGTTCCTGTCTTTGCGTTCCTTGTTGCCTCGTATATCGTTCACCATTTACGCGACCAAGGCTTTGAAAATCGTGGACCGTTTACAGTTTTCTCTGAAGATTTATCAATAAATCTCATGCATCATTTCGGATGAAGGCCTGTACTACTGCAGGCCAACTATTCTAATGGAATTTTTTGAAGCATCATTTTATTTGATTGATTTGAACAGCTTCGCGAAGTAGTCATTGTTAAATGTAGCTCGAAAGATGAAGTTGAGACAAGAGTTGCTGCGTCTTCCCTCTTCAGAATGGTTAATTTGATTTGATTGCTCTGAAAGCAGTGAGAACGTAAAGGTCGGTAGAATTCGATGTTGAGACAAGGTGGGCTCAAGGGCCTGTTTTTGATACACCATAATCAGTTAGTTTGAGCTGGATCCTTCGTGGTGAATGAGCAGGTGTC